CAATATTAATTATGTTACAATATTAATTATGTTAAATATCTTTAAATAAAATTGTATTAAATGATAAATGGAATAATTTTTTTATATATAGACATTAAAATGTTAGAATATTTAGGAGATGGATTGGTTTAGGATTTTAAAAGACTCTTTTGAGTAAAAAAATCTGTTGGTATTTGATCAGGATTTTATGTCACTTAAACCCTAAACTTAAAAATAATCAATTGGTATTCAATCTAGATTTTCAATATTCTTTAAAAGAGTTCATTAAAATCTATCCGTATTCATTTGCGACTTTTTACAACTTAAAAATAATTCATTGGTATTAAAAAATATAGAGATTTTAAAAAATTGTTGTATTAGAGGGATTTTGAAGAAATTTTTAGTGTTATCTATAAATACCAAATTCATAAAACAACTCATCCAAACCCATCATATTTTAGAGGATTGTTTGAAGTGACTTTTCAAGGGCTTCAAGATTTTCCAAGTAAGTTTTTCATCTTTTTTTTTTCTATGCTCATATCTTCTCCATTTTTTTTCTCTTGCTAATAATACTACATTACTGCTCATATATAATGTTGTATTACTATTCTCATTCCATTCCCCTATTTGTTGAAACTTTTATACGTAAATGAGAGTGTTGTTAACTTGTTCTATATTTCTTTTCGTTCTCTTTAATTGACTTACTCTATTTTGCTCTCTTTAGGTGAGATTATTCCTCAGTTATATAACACAGAAAATACTTGAAATTTCAATTTTTAAGTAGTAATTTTTTTATAATACGCGTCAAGAAAAGGGAAAGGTGAGAACTAAAATTAATATCATAATCTCTATAATCAACTGTAGATCTTCAAGACCTTATAATCAATTTAGATTTATTAGAACATATATATATATATGTGTGTGTGTGTGTGTGTGTGTGTGTGTATAAAAGATGAACTTGAGTTAGGGTTTTTGTGAGAAGAATGAGATAATAATGAATCTTAGTTTGGGGAAGAACCCTCTCAACACAAAAACTGCGACCTCTCTCCCTTTTACGACTCAACAATTATTTTATTTTCTTTTTTTTACTATGAATTTTTTTTTAATTTTTATATTATGAAATTAAAATTTTTTATATTTTGAAAAAGAAAATTAACATAAGATATTGCAGTATCTTAGAATTCAATACTAAAAATATTTCTTCATGAGTGAATAATTGAAAATAATAAAAAAAATATTTTGTACCTGTAACAAATTTTAGATTTTTTTTCTTCTAGTTGATGTTTGTAAATTTCTAAGATATTTTAAATGAATAAAAGTGTACGAAAGACAAACTTTCACTCAAATACCAATATAAAATGAAGGGACATATTTAGTTATAAGAGAGTAGGGTAGTTGTCCTACTATTTGTTTTAATCATTTTATAAATTTATAAATAAAATATTTCAAATCATAAATTATAAAAAATTTGGAGTGTTGTTTAGAATAATTTTTAGCATGTGCTGCATTATATAACTTTTTTTCGTAAAGAATGTCATTCTGATGAATTTCCAATTGGAGTGGTGGACAAACCTTCATCTTCAACAATACCGATTAATGAAAATCATAATTTTGAGTCTAAAACTTAGGAGCAAGAGTGAAAATGTAACGTAGTGATTAGATTTCAGAGTTTAGTTGACTCTAGGAAGAAGAGTATATAAGGGTTTCTCTGAGAAGGGAACTTCATAAGTTCATTCTCAAATAAACTTAGAGAGAAGTTTTAGAGAGAAAGACTCTAGGTTTGTGAGCTCCTTTCTCTCCCAAATTTCTCTGCATGATTCTTCTTCTCCTCTAGAACACTAATGTCTTCTTTCTTTTCTTGAAATTCAGACTAAGAAGCTTGATTTGGGTAGATTGAAGTTTCGGGTTGAGCTTCGGAAGGAAATTCTACTTCTTCTCAGTTCTTGGCCATTTTGAGCCAATCTTCAGGTGAGGAAAGCTAAAATGTAGGTTGTTTGGTTGCATGAGAGTTTAGGAACTCAATTGATGCATGAATTTTGAGAATCCATGGTTGGATTGGAGAAACTTCTCATTTTCGGGGTTTTGGGAAAAATGAGGTTTTTTGATGATTTTGATGCATATGTTAGATGCATGTTGAATCTAAGTTTGTTTTTTGAGTTGTATGGAGCATATGCATTGTGTTTCTGTGTTTGCATGTGGTTGGATTTGCTAATTTTCAGGGGTTGGAGGAAATTTTCGAAGTTTTGGAGGCTGTTGTTTGAATTTGCGCCGAGCACAGTTCTTTGCGCCGGACGTGCATTCATCAGAGGCAACAATTTCAAACTCACGTCGAGCGCGAGGCTAGTCACGCTGGGCGTGAATTGAAATAGGAGGTCTCTGGATGAGTTCGCGCCAGGCGTGAAAGGCACCACGCTGGGTGCGATATCAGACAGTGGACCTGTTTGTTACTTTACTAAAATGGCGCCGAGCGCAAGGTTGATGCGCCGGGCGTGGAGACCCTTGGAGGTCTCTGCCTGTTATGGCGCTAGGCGCGGAGTTGACGCACTGGGCGTGGAGACTTTTATAAGTCTCTGTTCCAAGGACGCAGGGCGCGAGCTGAGCATGTCGGGCATGAATGAGCTAAGCGCGCGGATTAGCAAAGGATATAAATCCAAGCTATTTGCTCGCTAATTAGCGAGGGATTGGCGAGGAACACAGTTCCTCTCTAATCTCCTGCTAATTAGCGAGCAAATAGCTTGGATTTATATACCTCGCTATTTTGCGACCAACCTTTATCTCCTCGCAAATCCTTCGCTAAAATTAGTACTTCTTTAGTGAGGAACTTAGTCCCTCGCAAGTGCCTTGCAAATCCCTCAACAAATTATGAGCCAAAATAAAAAAATGAAATTTTCATTTAGCGAGGGAGTTTTCTTGTCGCAAATCCCTCGCTAATGAGTTATAAGTATAGGCCTCGCAAATCCTTCGCAAATTAGGGAGGGAAAAGTTTTTTCGTTAATCCCTCGCAAATAAGAGATTACATTGCTTGCAAAACTCTCACAAATGTCTCGTAAATTTAGAGAACAAGACCCTCGCAAATTGCTATTAAATCTCTCGCAAATTTAGAGAATAAATCCCTTGTAAATTGTTTTATAGTGAGTTTGGATGGGTAATTTAAATGGAATAATTCATTTATTTGAAGAATTTAAAATTCTTTGAGCTTAAATACGTTATTTGGATAGAGAATTTATAAAGAATTTTAAATTCAAGTATTTGTAAAATTCCTTAAAATAGTAGAATTTTAAATTCTCCTAAAAAAGTAAGAATTTGAAATTCCTCATATTATTTTTCTTTTTATTTCACTTATATATTGTTTATCTTATCTCTTATCTCTTCATTTTTTTTAATTATTGAATATTTAAAAATATTTTTAAAATTATTAAATATTATCTAATATTGATTTTAAAAATTATTTAATATTTAAAAATTAGCTAATATTTATTTTTATAAATTTAATTTAAAAGTCTCAACATATAAACATATTCTTAAAACCAATTTTACCATGGTGGAATCAAATTATCATATTCAACATAATAATTTAAAATTGAAGAAATTTGAATTAACTTATCCAAACAAAATATTTTAAGAATGGTAAAGTTAAAATTAAAGTAATTCAAATACTAAAAATTTAAAATTCTTTGAATTTGTAAAATTTTTCATCCAAACACACGTTAGAATTATTTTCCTTATCCTCTTATCTTGTCCAATATATATATACATATATATATATATATATAAAAGAAAAACTCAATAAAATTATTGATTAAAAGATAAAGTATACAAATTTTTATACTTAATTTATTGAATAAAAAATTTAATATATAATTTTAAGAGATACTTTTGAAGTAACTGAATTTTCACTCATATATATTTTTTAAAACCACATATATATCATCATAAATATTAAATATAATTTATATGTTTATAATATGAATTTAGTCTATGTATGTTTTGTTTTCTTAATTTTGATAATTTAAAATATTTTTGTTTATTTTAATTTAGATAAGAATTTAGTCTCTGTAAATTTATGTTTTCTCAATTTTAGTTCTTATAAATTTTTAATTTATTTTTGTCCTTATAAATATGTATTTTTCAAATTTTAATTATTTAAATATTATAATTTTTCTTTCACTTTAGTTCATATGTAACTTCATACTAATAACTAAAAGTTAGAAAGAAAATATATAAACTTATACTGACTACACTTTTAAAAAAAATATTATAAAAATTAAAATTGAGAAAGGAAAATCCTATAAAAATTAAAAATAATTTTAAAAAATTGGAAAGATTAACATTAAAAAAAACTGTAAATTAATATTTAGCTTATATTTAATATATAATATTTGAAAATTTAAGTAAGCATAAATTATATATATAAGTAAACACGATGATGATTAAAATATTTATAAAGTTGTATAATTTTTAAAACTCCAGTTTTTTTATTGTTAGAGAGGTTCACGTGAAAAATAATTATTATTTGTATGAGCATTTATTTATAAACAGGTTCACGTCAAAATGAAAATAAATTAGGGAATTACATAATATAAATAAAGATAAAAAATTATTCATATAAAAATGAATACAAGATAAATATAAAAAAAATTGACCGCTGAAATCTTAATAATATAAATACATTAATTTTTGAACTATTAAATATTTAAAAATTAAATAATATTTTTTTAACAAAATTT